ACCTCAAGAGTATGTCAATCACTCTGTCTCTGTCATGGACAAACCATCACCTACGAGCAATCAACCCTCACCTACAAATAACTATAGTCAACCCTTAAATACTCCAATTCCTCAATCTGTAACATCGCCTATGGCATGTAGTACAGATCTCTGTCAAAAAACTCACTCTCCAAATCAATCTAATGAGTCTGTGAATTTGTCACAAAGGAACGGCTCAATGTCAATGCCAACACATGTCATGATCCCTGGTCCATCAAGAACTCCATATAAGGTAATATAGCACACTGATTTGTTTTGGATCATAAACATCTCTATATTTTTAGTTATTTAAATAAATATTAGTGTGAACTGCTCATGAGCTTAAGGCCTAGGTTAAAATATGTGCAGGAGCATAGGAGAGTTTGTCATATAAATGCAGAACAAAAGAGGAGGTGCAACATTAAGAATGGATTTGATATGTTGAATATGTTAATACCTCAAATCAATCAAAATCCAAACACAAAAATGAGTAAAGCTGCAATGTTACAAAAAGGAGCTGATTATATTCTCCAGTTAAGGTCGGAACGAGCACGGCTATATGAAGAGAGGCAAAATTTGCAACAACAAGTTGAATCTCTTAATCTAGCTATAAGGTTGGTAGATCTATTTATTATTTTTAAATTACCCTCAATAATTCTTTGATATTATTTTAAAAAAATTTTAATTTTGTTTTATAGTAATTGTCAAGCAATGTTACCTGCTACTGGAGCCCCATTTTCTAGACAAAGAACGACAAAAATGAAAGAAATGTTTGATGAATATGTTAAGAAGCGAACTCAAGAAAATTGGAAATTTTATATTGTATCCTTTAAATAGTTATAACTAGGGTTAATTTAAGTTGTAACCTATATTTTTTTCCTAAGTAATAAAAGTTACATCAATACTAATCAAAATCCCAGAGGTATTTAAAAACTTTAAAACAAAAAAATCATTTCACGTAAACTTAAATAATAGATGTATATTATAAATCATGATATACATTAAAAACAATATTCTCATTTTTACATTTGAATAAATAAAAGAAAATAACCTCTTTATTTTAATTTATTAACTTTTATGAATAGTACCCCTATAACAACATTAATATTGTACGGTTTTATTATCTTGCTCATTTGTTTTTATAATTTTTTTTTTTTTCAAAAACTCCAATTTAAAACCAACATTTAATTTTTAAACTAAATCAAAAACAATTCACTCTTATGATAAAAGCAATAGGTAATAGGTAAGGCAATAGGTAAGCAATAACATATATTATACTTCATATACTTTTTGTTTGTCATGTAATTATGTTAAAAAGTTTACCATATGTATTTTAATTCCTTAAATTCATATTATTTAGCTGAGTTTAATTGCAGAACCACTATTAAACTCGTTTAACTCTAGTGTGTCTACAACGAGTTATGATGAAATGTACCGTACTACTCTTCAGTGGGTAGAACAACACTGTACACTGGGTGATCTCAGGCCAAGTGAGTGTTAATGATTTAATTATAACATCTAGAAAATTAACCATTATTCTTGTCTTTCATACTACAATGTTGGGCATAAATAATAATTTTTTAATGTGGTATAAAAATCTCGTTGATAGCTTTTATGATATCTATCGTGTTTTTTTTTTTTTTAAATAGTTTAATGAGGAGATTAGGTACATTTGATATTTTACATTGGTTTATGCAATTGGATATGTATATCTTTGTCTTAAATATTTCTTTCACGGACGCCAACAATATATGCATAAATAGGTACAATTAGTATTGTAAATTTGAAGATTTTTTTATTCATTTTTTTAGTATTTTATAGATATTTTTGTTCATAGTTATAGTTGGAATAAATTATATTTTTTAGAACACTATTTTTATTTTTCAACTTGTAAAGCATGTTTAAATATTTTATATTTTTTCAAGACTAATTATACCGTATATTTCCAAAAATAATTGTATTCATGTCGGTTTGTGTGAACATTAGATTAATTTAAGAAACCATTAGCTCACAATTGATTTATTAAATTTTTAGCGATTGCTCATGCAACCCAGTATGAATATTATATTATATTTATAGTAACAATAATCGTATGTTTTTAGTTGCTTTAAACGCATTGCGAAATCTGTGCACATCTACCGAAATACTATCAGATCCAAGTAATCTGCCTGAAGAAATAAATAACATCATTCAAAAAAGTCAAACAAAACATCAATCACAAGGAAACCGAAACTAAAAGTAAATAATATAATCATTAAAAATTGTATGTGCCATTTTTGTTTCTTTAATTATTATATAATTGTTTATGTTTTTGTTTTTATTTTTGTTTTTATTATACATTGTTAATTTTTAATATATATATATATGTTTGTAACTTTTGAAGCTTAATTTTGTTGATTAATTATTTAAACGAATCTTATATGTATAACTATTTTTGAAAATACAGATTCCTTTTTCTGTGATAAGTACATAAAATATTTTTTGCATCTTATAGAAAAATATATTTTCTTAAAATTATATTTTATAAATATTATTCTATTTATTAATGTATGTTTATTATTATACTCGTTAAATGTTTTATTATTTTTAAGTACAGAATATAAATTATAAATCAATATACATATATATATATATATATATTATAATAAAACATTGATGAAAGTGTTCTTAATTTCCAAATTTCTAAAACATATTTTTCTGTTGATTATATAATGAAAAAGAAATTTGATTACATTTTTTAAATTACCTTTTGGTTGTATAACACATAATATTGGCCAGTGACTCGTACCACCCACATGGTCACATACACTTATAGTTGTGGAACTGAACTCTGAAAAGCACAATACTACAATAGGTACTAAAATATATTGGATGGTGACATAGTCTACAGTATAGACTACACTATACAATTAACTACACCGATAACTGGTAAAAGATTGTATATTTGTAGAATACCTCAGTAATATAGTTATCAAAATGTTTGGAATATAGTTGATAATTTATATGAATTGTTAGAAATTATTATTATAACCTGTTAAAAGAAATGACTAGCTCAAAAATATTTATTGTTTTCATTAATTAGTCGGAAAATGATCAAAAAATTAGGTCAATTATAAACCAAAAAAGTGTTATGCATTGGAATTATTGACAATTGAATCAGAAATAACAAGAGATTGTGGGTAAACAGATTTTGAAGAAATTATCTAGACAATTATACCTTAATGTACCTATCTAGATTATTATTATAAGCAAAATTAATTGCATTAATAATAAATGTTTCAGTTTATATTTTATGTTTAGAATGTATTAACTGATACCTTGCACTTTGTTGCCCTTAAGAAATGCCACTACTTAAATAATAACCACCACATAATCACTCAAATATAGTTAGGTACCTAAGTTAATACTTAACACAATATCTGTAGGCATGTTAATCTAGGGCCATATACGATATACCTTATAATTATACTACATTTACTACTTAGTTTAAGGTCTATGATGTTACCCCAAATCGTCAAAGATCATTTTACAAATTTTTTTCAATTTTTTTACTGGCCATCAGTTTATTCCTATTTTATCTCTCAATATTTCGTAGACAGGAGTATTGGGTCCACAAGACTTAGCTCAAAACCTGCTCCGCGAAATACTCAATAATCTAAAAAAAAACCGCATGACTATCAAATGAGTGGTTCCAGAGAACATATGTGATAAAATTTCTTTTCCACATTTATACATTTATATGTTACAGTAAAAGTACGAATACCGGTAAAACCTAGGTATCACCAACAACCAACTGCTCTTAATTGATTTCGGTAAAACCTAGGATACACAAAATAGTTTGGTCAAACCCCGATCATTTTTGTAGTTTGGAATCTTACAAATGAGTTTGGTAAATCTTAAAATAAACAATCAGTGTTAGTTAAAGTCCGAAATTGTTTACCAATTGTCATCGTCCCTCTATAGTATACTTTATTTTTATTACCACAATAAAACTTTATTTTGTGTACTGTGTAGGCTTGGCTACTAACATTTTTGTTGCATGTCAAATTTCTAAATGATTATTTAAGTACCTACCTATATTAGGTACTGCATTGAACTGAAAATCGAAATTCTTATTAGGTAATTTTAATTACAACAGATGTATTGTGACAACAAATTATTATTATTATTAAATATTATTGCAAAAGTTGAAACTATTGTGTAAAGCATAGTGACATTTTACAGCGATCGACTGTAAGGAACTGTTTAGGAACGAATGCTTGTTTAGCTCCTAAGTGATTTTTGTGATTTTTTTTCAACATTTATGTTTTTCCATACTTAATATGATTCTAGTTGGAAAAAATCTAATTTCATTTGTAAGTTATGGTCAAGAGACTTTTCAGAACTTCAAAGTATCTTGTTTTTTTTGTAACTGAGTTTTTTTTATTTTTAAATTGTGTAAGGATTAAATTTTAACAAAATTACTTGGAACAAGAAATTACCTATCGTACTTGCATTTTATTTATTGTTAATTAAGTATTTAAATAGCCCTGAGATTTTTACTTGTTAGACAGGTGAGAATATGCTAAGGCTAACTCGAGGACTTCAAACGGTTATAACATTGAACCTATAGGTACCTACTGAGTGTCTGAGTCCAACTGCTGTGAAATAAACTTTACCCATTTAAAATAAGATTGATACATTTGCATCTTTCTCCTCATTGCACATTCCTACAATACAGTGAATGCAGAATGAATATAGTAGCTAGCGCCTAGCACCAAGTGACAAGTGTCCAACTATGGTTAACTTGAAAGACATTTATATATTTTTCACTACAATGTTAAGTTCAAACGTAATTTACAGCTGTTGAAACTTTCAAAATTTCAAATCGTGACGAACGCGAATTCACCAATGAGAGGAGACCTGCGTACGGCGCGAGTGCAGCAGCACACGGGGTGGTTCGCTCGGTGGGTGTGCGACGTGCGTTCGTTATATATGTCTATTGATTTTTAGAAAAACCTCAGTCACGTATCACAGATTCACAGAATAATAATAACAGTGCCGTGGCAACTGGCATTATATTTTACGCAAAACTGAGGAAGTATTTAGTATTATAACTATAATTACCTACTAATATATATATATGATATTGCCAATATATTTTGGTTTATAACTATCCATCGTAGGTACACTGATAGATCGACTACCTATTAAAAAAGGAGTTGTGCCGACTACCGGTTGCATGTTATGCACCACGAAAAGATGAACGAATTGCAATGCGTATTAGCTATTAATAACTACGGGAAGATTTACACACTGTCTGCGTTTGACGATCAATGGAAACCTTTCCCTCATGTCGGCATGGATTTGAAACACATTTCTGCTATCGAGAATTACATGTGGTCGATCGGGGGCGACAACCAGACGTATCTGTTGGTGCACAATCTGGATGGAGCGATACGGATCAAGGAAGAAGTATATGAAAACGAGGTAGGTGTAAGCGGCGGCGGTGATTTATCTTTGATCAGGAATGAATAATAATATAATATAAATAGGTACTATTTCTCGATCAATATTATGACCCAGTCATATTTAAATGATTAACAATAATCTAATAGGTATTCTAATTTATCGAATAAATCTATTGCAACTATACTTATGACTTCAAATGATGTAAAAGAAATGTTTAAGATATACCACTAAAATATCATCTACATAGGCGCAATTCGGGGAGGGGGGCTCGGGTGCGTGCTTACTGCTTGGCACCCCCAATTTTTTCCATATTAATTTTAATAGTCATTATGCAGGTATCTATAACCATAAGATAATTTGAAAAAATTAGAGGTGCTGAAGAACCCCCAGGTTTTTCATTGAAATTACCACCCTGATCACGTGCCGGAAGGGTCGCCCTGTTAACTATAATAAAATATACACAACATGTATGATAAAACATGACGTCCAAACTGTGGATTTATTATTTAAATATAAATACTATACGAGTATTTACCTGTACAATAAATATTTATATAGGGTACGTGAATAATGTTTTGTATTTATTGTTGTCGATAGCGATGGATGCCCGGCGGGAGTTTTTCAAAAAGACTTTTGCCCACAGACAGGTATTGCTGGTCGTCGGAAAACGGCAAAGAAGAAAAGTTTAAAGAGAATATAAAGTTGCCCTCCTTCGTCTGGCAGTGGGAACATGAGTGGAAGCTGGATACTAAGTTTGAGGAAAATGATTTAGACAGCAACGTGAGATACATAATTATAATAATATAGGTTTGTGTTAATTATTTTTAAAAATTGTGTTCATTTTTTTTTGCTGGTCGTCAGGGATGGACATATGCGGTCGATTTTTTTGCTAAGTTTTATCCAATCAAACGCTGGAATTCATGCGTCAGGAGGAGAAAATGGTACAGAAATCGAATATACACGGGCATGAATTCTTGGTGTATAATTTCTCCTCTGCACAAAGATTTTACTCAGGTCTTTGAACCGAATAAATTCACCATGTATAGACAGACGGAAGTGTGTATATAATAATTTTAATTTAACCACTGTGCAGGAACCATTCATCTGCGTTAGCATTGGAGGGCATAAGATACCCGGAGCTCAACTTGGTGTCATTATGGTATGGGCTGTGACAGCGCAAGGAAGGGTAAATATACATTTATATAACTTTTAATAGGTTCTGGAATTTGTAAATAAATACTTAAACATACAATTTTTGTTCTAAAAGATCTTGAATTACAGATTTTCTACCGTAAAAACGTAAATAAAACGTGGCCCGAAGGCTGTTTGTGGGTCTGTGTTCCAACAAAAGAGGGCAGTGAATCCAGATACATTGATTGTGGTCCGTTGGGTTCTGTTTGGGTAGTTTTATGGAGTGGTGTCATACTTGTCAGAAAAGAAGTCAGTGCTGAAACTCCACAAGGTCAGTAAAATGTATCTTCTGGTTACTCGTACTATACCAACTTATATACTTTGAAAATTAATTTATTGGTTCCTCCTTTTTTGCTCACTAATAATGTCGTATTTAACATTTCTAAGGTAAAACATGGATTATTGTTGAATCTCCGGAAGAAGATTCTAAAATAACTCAATTATCAGTCGGATTTCAGTCAGTGTGGGCAATTACTAATGATTCTAGAGTATGGTTTAGACAAGGAATTGATCAAAATCTCAGTGAAGGAACTTGTTGGGTGAAATTAAACACTTTTATGTTTTCTGTCTCCGTAACCCCAAACGACCAAGTAAATCTGCAAACTATATTCAAAGTTTCTTGAATAAATAATGTTTTTTATTATCAGGTATTTTCAGTGGGTTTAGATAGACATTTATATTTTAGGAGTGATATATCTAAAAATTATCCTACTGGGAAAAAGTGGATTCATATACAGGCATCCATTGAAATTGAACAACCTAAAGAACAAGAGGTATTATTTTAACTTATTTCATACAGGAGCGTACACAGATATTATATTCAATGGACAATGGGGGGGGGGGATGTTATATTAAACCATTATTTATTTATGTTGTATGCTTATAAAGGTATCAAAATATTTTTTTGAATTTGATCATTATTATATTACATCTATACATATAGAAAAAAAATACCAGGAGGGAAGCTGAATACACCTCCCCCCTCATGTGTACGCAACTGATTTCATAAGTAATGCTAATTTAAAATTGTTTTATTCAATAGTCACAAATATGAAATAGATCCAAATTTTATTATAACTCTCCATATTAATATTAAACATATACAATTGTACATGATAAAATTGTATTTATTTTTTTAAGACAAAACTGGAAGGAATAGAACCATGGATATCATCATCATTTACTGAGCCTTCACATTCTGCCCCAACACGTCTTGTTGGAAATGATTCAAAAAATAATTTAAACTTGAAGTATACCTTAGATCATTTATATTATAACTTATCAATAAGAAAATATTTTTAATTGTAGTTGTTTATTTTTAGTGCAAAGGAAATCAATCCTTCTCAACGCAGAGTGTCTGCTTGGAGTCCTAAACTTAGCATTGGGTCTTTAATTGGTATGGAAGCTAAACCGGATTCATTTATGGAAATTCAAAGTAATATTTTAATTCAAAAACCAAAAACATTTTGGAGTTCTGTAGTGGGAGGTTCAATTGAACCAGATATTTGTTTTATATCACAATGGTAATTAAATAAACTTACTTATAATCGATGTTTTACACAATTTAGTATCAAATATGTGCCATTAATTTTTATATGATATTTAGTTAAAAATGTAATATTTTTTTTTAGGTTTAATTCTCCAAATGATAGAGAAAATATTTTTAAAAGTAAATGGAGGAGAGAAATATTGGACAAATTAATCGTATTAAGATTAAAAGAAAAAGAATTTCAACAAATCACCTCTTTTGCTTTATAATTGTGGTCATAAAAGTAACTTAATAAAATTTTCCATTCATAAATATTTTTTTGAATTAATAATTAATAATAAATTAGAAAAAAAACCAAATGAAATCAGACCTGTACTACAATCATTATGTCAGGATTCAGTGAGCAAATGTGTACAATTTGAGGTTAGAAATGAATTATAAAACAACCATTTCATGATTTCAACTTCCAACACAAGACTACAGAAAAAAAAGGATCATGTTTGCTTGTCAAAATGTTGATATATGTATAGCATTATAGCCAACATAGGCAATCATATATGCAAATAATACCATCAGAAAAATTAGTCTGCATTAGTATTTAGTTAAAACCAAATATTTACATTGTTTTTTTAATTTTATACATAAATATATTATTTTTTTATAATTATTGTAACCGTATAATAATTGTATAAATAAAAAAAACCATACTTTAATTTACTCATATTCACAGATATAGTCCATCAATAAACTATGCAGTCCTTACATTCAAATGCTTGATAGTATTCAAATATAGTTATCTAATAATCTAACTAAAATTAAAGTTGGTTTACAGTTAACACTCTCTTTTAATTATCAAAATACAATATTAAAACGTTAAACCTAATGACATGTTGTCTCTTTCTTAGAAACATACAAACAGAAAATTTGCTTTCAGCAGAATCAGTTTTGTATTGTAATAGAGATTTACCTATTATCTAACTTAAATATAAGTAAGAATAATATCTGAAGCATCTTCTAAGATACTGATTACACATTTTTAAGCAAGAAATGTACAATTTTAAAATACCTAACTTCAAAATTAAAATACAAAACTAAATTTACCAGATGCCCTAAGATAATATTCTTACCTTTAAATCTGATTATAGGTCAATTTACTCAAATATTAAAGTCAGTTAATTTATACAGGGTGCTATGCAACATAAAAATATTTAAAAAAGTGGGGGGTTACACTCTGCTGTCATTAGGTGTCTATTAAAGTCACTTTAATGGATTTCTTAAATTTTAATTCAATGATAAAAATCATTGTATGTAAAAACAATTCTGAGCGAAGACTGTCTATAAACCTATAACATTACCAAGTGTTTTTTCTGATATTATTGAGATTAAAGTAATTTATTTTACTATTGGGCACCATAGCATGTAACATAGGGTCCAAGTGTTGAAAAGGAAACACCTTAAATATCTGTAGGTGGGTATTGATAGAAGAAAAATAGGACACTATGGGTCAGTATAACAATATTATGAGGGGTAGGTCACCTGAAATAATTTGAGCAACAGCAAGGTTTTTATGATGCACACCACTGATTAGGCATTAGTACTACGGTAAGTTAAATTAATTTTTGTAAAACAATTTTGAAAATCTTGTGTGTATAAAGTATTCTATGATATAATGAAACCTTGATTATCCGTGTTAGCGATTACACATATATTTTATCGACAATGTATATCACAGGTATGTACATGCATAGTTTCAATGAACCATGGATTTCATTTATCCTGGTGACCCCCTTTTCCCCATTGCCACAGATATTTGAGGTTCCAGGGTACTCTATAATTTTCAAGTAATCGTGAATAATATTTTTAAATTACAACAAAAGAACTAAAATCGTTATTCTTGGTTTTAATATGATATTTTGTCCAAATTTGAACTTTAATTTCTTATAAAACCGTGCCTATATCTTGTATTAAATTTAAAGTTTTTGGATCAAGTAAAAATTTTTTATCAACAATAATTTAAAAAAATTACTGATAAAAATCAAAATTTTCTTGTGCATATAAATAGCTAAGTATAATCAAAATATTTTGGTGTGTAGAAAATGTCAATATTAACATTCAATAAAAATTTCATGGAGGTTATTTTCTTTTAGAGTTGCAATAAAAGACGAAATAGATTTTTTTGAAAACTGGGTTTATGTAAAAATATCAGTTCTTTCTAAATTTTTTTTTTCTAACGCTTTTTTACATTTGACAACAATGTACCAAACATCCTATTATATTTTGATAAATTGATTTTTACATAGCTAACAATCTTTCATAAAATGAATTAAGTAACTGTCACCAAATTTAATGCACTATTATTCAATATACATTTAAAAAATACTAATGACCTATAGGCAGCATCCTGTTGAGCTTCTTCATAGCTGATAGTGGATTCACCATGAAAAGCCACAGTAATGGGAGTAGATACTTGAAGAGAAGTTTGATACTTGCCAGTACTTGAGAGTTCTTCAAAATCAATAAATGATACTATAAGTCCTTGTTCAGCAGTAAAACTGTCCAAAATCAGTCGGCTGTCGCAAGAATACAATTGTTCATCATCCATTTGTTTTAGATTATTATAACAAGGGCCATCAGTTAAGGGTAAATGTCTATGAATTTCAGGTAACCTATAAAATTGAGAAGTGGATTTAGAATTTTTCAATCCGCTTAGATTGCTGGACTCTTGACGAACAAAGTCGTCTACATTTTCAGCTGCTCCAGAGTTTAGACTGAGATCTGCCTGAATGCTAATAACAAGAAATAAAAAAAATTATAAACTAATTAATAAAACTACTAAGTAATATAATAAAACAATGAGTATTATGCAATTTAACTACCTTTTTAACATCAAATAAAGATTATTGGCAGCAAGTCGTTTGGCAATCTTTTTAGATTTGCCTACACCAGTCTCTTTGTACTCGGAGACATTACATGAAACAGTAAATAAACGCTGATGAGGGAGGCCATCTTCACATTCTGTTATGTAAACTGGAGGAGGAAGATGGAGAGATGTACAAAGTTCCTGAAGCATACCAATTGGATTACGTTCATCGTTATCTCCAAAATTCATAGTTTCAAACGATTCATTCACGTCTGAGGTAAAATCAATTTGAGATTCAAATAAAGGATCGGAACATAATTCAGGAAACTCTTTATGAATAATACGTAGTAAAGCCTTAGCCGCATTTTGTTTAGCTTCTTTTTTTGATTTTCCTAAACAATATTATTGACAAATGAAAAATAAATTGAAACCTCGGTATTATTATATTAACCTTGACCATAAGCCACAAATCGTCCATCTGTGACACGATACTGAAATGACGGTGCACTAACAGCTCCTTCAATTTGTAGTAATTCATACTGAACAGTGCGTACTCCTTGTTTATTTAATATGTCTTGTAATAAAGTAACTGATGTTTTATCAGTATCAAATTTTACATTATATGCAGGAAAGTCCATTTAATAATTACTAATAAATTTAAAGTACTTTATCTACAGTACTTTGGCTATAAGTTAGTAGTAATTTTGTATTAAAATTAGTAAATGTGAAAAATTAATTATATTATCTTTTATAATGAAGGAAAAATGAAATAATTTTCCAATTTATTTTTGGAATACCCACAAAATTTAAAAATGATTTATATGATGTTTAACTGCATACTATAAAGTTCTGTATTACACATACACATACTATAAATTAATAATGTATTAGTATATACAATACTAGTGGTATATTAACAGTTGTGTATTGGGTAGGTTATGATGTGTTCATGATCACAAAGTAAAAAAGAAAATCATAAACTGATTACTTTTTAAACCATTTGCTTTTTTAATGGGTAGGTAGAATATTAGTATATTATTTGTTTTGTGAAACTCACCTACACCAAAAACAATATAAATTATTGTAAGGTTGTCACTGAACAGCAAAAAATCTACAAACTAAAATTTATAAGAACTCATTTGATATAAATTTTTTAAAATTTTTTTTCATAGTATTTTAATTAATTTCAATATTTTAAAGTTTAAAATATGATTTTAATTCGTTTAAATGAAAATAAACAATTATAAATAGAAGGAGTCAGAACTAGATTACTAAGTGCGACAATCAGAAAGTTGAAGATCTTTAGATAGTTAGTTTAGTAAGTTACGAGCTATGACAGATCTAACTGATCTAAGATTAATACTAAACAGTAAGTTGTAAGTATTACAATTAAAGATAAATCTTAATATATTTAATCGTGCTAAATATACATAGATAATAGCTTAATACATACTTATGTATTATCTATGTAAACATATTATTACACTACAACTGCATGAAGTTAGCTGCAAGTTGCAGCCTGCAATAATTGACCCAGTCATTGATAAGGGAAATATCTTCTTTATTTTAAGTCTGTGATATCGACCAGGGCCGATTCGTAAAAAGAGTTGCCTATGGTATGCCCCTCATTCAAATTATAAGCACTCGTAAAAATCTGTTAGAACTAAAAGCTCATAAAGGCTTGTTTTTTTGTAATATATGAGCTGTGTATAGCTTCAAACAATTCATCTCGAAACATAAGAACATAACATATCATTCAAAGGTAGAAAGTAGTATTTTTTTTGAAAATAAAAAGTTGTCGTTACTCGTTGGTTTCTTGGCCAGATGAGGTTAAAGTCATCCAATCGTCTAGTTCAACTTTGCATAGTCTTGGTTAAAGAAACTATATTTTAAAACCAAAAGTATGTTATGTAGCTTATATACTGATTATAATAAAATATTGATTTTGACGAAAATCGCTGTAATTGTTTTTAGAGATAATAGAAAAGTTTAAAGAAGTGTGAACCACGTTAAAATATATATAAAGTGCTGTTGCCCATTTAGGTCGAATTATTTCATTGACCGAGATACACCGACGATTTACCAGTGAACTGAAGCACACTAAAAACCGAGGTACATGTAAGGGGTGTGTTTCCCTCAGGCTATTTTAGTTACTATGAATTGTTTTATCCCTAGTGAACAAAAAAAAAAAACACGCGTAGGTATGTGCTGAGAAAGTTTTGACTTTGCTTTCCCCTCCCCCCGGATTATATTTCAGCTGCCAATATTGGATACCTGTATAATAGTACTATAAGTATTTGATATTTGTCCATTCTTCCCGGACGAAGTCAGGCTATACATCCATTAAATAATATATTTTCGTTTTTCTACGAAGATTTATTTTATGTGTTTCATTCGTAGATTTCCAATTTGATCAATATTTTTGAATTCGTAAAAGTGTTTAGTCTTAACGTACCAAAAAAGACTGAGATGTTTTCTTTACTGTATATATGGGGTATTTTATCTAAGATGTGCAGTTTTCAGATTCAAAAATTTAATTAAAATTTAAAATTGTTCGCTTTAACTTAATTTTATTTTTTCACTAGGTACTTACCTATATGTATTTGAAATTGTAGTTCTTATAATTCTGTTTATTTAATTTTGTAATTGTAGCTATATTGTAATTTTTTTGGATATTTCTACATACGATAAAGAAATCGTACTAATAATATTTTATATTATACCTACTTCGTCTAAAGCAGGAACATCAATACCCAGTGATGTTATTAAAAAATCACAGTCCTCTAACACTACGCAAGGGAACTAGATTACAGGTTTCAACTTTGAAAAATAATGTTATAAAATCTACAATATTCACCGTCTGTGCTCGAGGAGAATCAGTTTTCATACATAGAATACATAAGATGGATTTTAATTTCTAAACAATTATAATTTTCCCCGTAATTTACATTTTGATATGAACAAGAACAGACTTACACATTGGCAGATGTTAATTTAATAGAAAATTGTTTTAATCATGGTCAACTTTTCGTTGGTGTTTCTAGGGTCAGTTCAGTAATTTTTAGCAACCGACGAAAAGTGAAAAGTCAAAAAATATTTCTAGTTTATAAAAAAGTCCTTAGTACAAATTAACTATTAAAAAAATTGAAATACATATAAAATTACTGTGTTAAAAATAAAATGAAAATCGAAGTTAAACTTAAATTTGTTTTATTTTTATTTTTAAGTTTAGAATACCATAACACAGATTATTTAATAACGAATCGAACAAAGTTTGAATAATATAAAAGGTGACATTTTTACGGGAAATGAAGAGCACGGGAGACGGAGACAGCTAGTATTATGGATGGTTTAAATTTATCTTCGTTGTTTTGTTTCAGAAATGTTTTTTCATATACGATGTACCTATGTATAGTCTATCCGTTACAAACTTAAAAATGCCATCATAGCCACAATAGGGCATGTTTAGATTTTTTTTAAATGGCGGGGGGATATGAATTTTCGACCATTCTCAGACCTCGTTTTAATGTATACATAGACATTGCTTTATCATATATTTTATATGACGAAAATAAGCCGAAGGGGGGGGGGGGGGGTGTAAGGTGTAACACTCCTCCCTCGCGAGAATGCCCCTTTACAACAATACAACTTATAAAGTTATAAATCAGTAAATTATTTTATGACCATGTATTTTTTACTTGGTATATGAACAAGTTATGAGGAATCTTGTATTCAATTTTCAAATTTTTTGATAAAGTTAAAAACATTTTATCGACATTAATTTCAACCACGATTATATATAATATATTATATTGTATAATAATATATATAATCGTGATTTCAACTCAAATTGAATATTTCATTATTTCATTATTTCATTATTATTTATTAGGTTATGTTCTAATTTTATTGTTATGATTAATTATTTTGATTTTAAAATCAGATTATTAAACTGCTGCAGTTCATTTATTTATATGTTATACTACAAAATATTTAATTTTTTTTTGCTTCTTAAAATTAATTTGCCCACAGATGCCTGTCTTCCTCTCCCGATTTTATTTAAATTTTTCACTAATTTATTATACCTGATTTAATTTTTTATATACATTTTACAGAACTTCAGTTACCAGAACCTATGCACTATTGCGCATTTGCACTGGCCACCACGAACCACGATTTAAGATATTTTATAAAATCGCGTTGACGCGTTGGCCACTGGACACTGAGCCACAGATACGGTTAAAGATATCTTTAGTTGTGGCCACAGAAGAAACACAATATATCATTATTATTCTAATAATGATATTCTCAAGGTAAAAAATTTAGCGGATAATGTTTTTCTTTCTTCTTCGGCGACACTGTGAAATAACCGTTATCAGTGTATGATAGCATAGCCCAACCTTTGAAACAGCTGCGAACCCCCCGTGACCAGTACAGCTGCAGTATGATATTCTGTTTATTTTGTTTTCGCACTGTCGTTTGTTATTTTTCGCACTTTTGCACCTCTCTGTCCTCTCTTCCATCGTCCGACCGCCTGTTAATATACTGATTACTGATCTGTGGTCTGTGGTCGGCCCCCCTAGAGTTGGAGAGTCACCAACAGCATCGACTATCGGCTCACGGGAAATGATTCATTAGTATTAAGCCGTCGACAATCGTCCGTCATCTGATTCAAATCCGTTACTATTGTCATTATCGGTAATTTAGATAGTTCGCGAACGTATTCATCATTCTTCCGTCTCGTCGCCGATGATGTCGTTGTGCTCTCGTTTTGTAACATGAACCATGCAAAGTAGTCCGCCGTTGAGGCCTGCGGTTACCAATTGAGTTCTTTGTCATTGAGCTTAAAGGACACGACCGTTCACGTAAGTACTTATTTATCAAAACGCTAGAATTTAAAGAGTGAACTGTGGAAAAATTACACCCACTGCCCACGGGGATGGTCACCTAAGGGTGGCCAAACTTTAACGAGAAATAAATGTCTCTTCTATTCATGTTGAATTATTTTTCTTCCTATTTGATTATTAATAAGTGATACTAAATAGTATGATACTATTGATTGTTAAATAAATGCACGTACAAATTATAACGACCAATTAAAGCTGCTGTAGCATCTAAGAGTAATCTATGATCATTAATATGCTCGTTAATATGTCTGACTCGTGCTTATGGGTCAAATTAATCAAAATAGGGATCAAAATATTTATGATGTTGGTAATACCTATTTAACCCTATATAATTGTATAGGTGGAGAAACAGTTTTTTGCTTATAAAAAGTTAATTTGACTCAAACATATAATAATTATAATTATAATTATGTAATATAATGATTATATAATATATTTGTATACAAAATATATAAATAATAGATATTATATAGCAAAATTGTACATAAATTATGTAGGTATCTCTTATAAATGGCTTGTGCTGTAACTGTGATAAATAGTTGAATGATGTAGATACAGTTAAACAATTATGACAATGTTGATTAATTTAAGGCCCATATAATAATTTTACAATATCATAGGATATGACATACCATCTTTTTCTTTCTATCTACTATTAAATAAGTAGATTTGTCAAAAATAAACAATCAATGACACTGTACCCATAGTTAAAATATTTTTTAATAACTAGTGGTTGAAATTTGCTGTGTAGGGAGATGTATTGAAAAGTTTTTCTGGTGCTATTGATCAAAAACTGAAAAGAAATTGATGTACCTATCTTGTATCCTCTATTAGTAGTAGATGACAGTGATGTTCTTTACTCTTTCAAAAAGCTATGTGGTTTTTTTTTGTTATTAGGAAAACATATTTGAACAAATTAATGGTAAATAAGTTATTATTTAATGATTCACTTGTCAAGTTATTTAGGAACTGGATTTTTGGTTAAAAAATGTTGAAACCCAATACTAATATTCTCTATGAATTATACAAATATTCTACTTAAAATGAGAGAAAAATACAAAAATAATCAATAAATATGAAATTATGCTTTGATATGCATATACATTTTTTTAACTAAAAGATATGATTCTAAGATTTAAAAATTGGACACAAATTCTTTTATTTGTCGTACTTATGGGTTATTACGAGTACCTTGGTGTCAAACGCATGCTTCAATGCCCGTCTTAATAATACATTTATAATAATAGGTACATAACTACCCATTATCATTATGAGCGTAGAAAGCTAATGCCAGTGTATTTCTTATAATATAATGCTTTATAACACAATAATAATTTATAATTTACAAAAAAGAAAGAGTAAATTGTATGAAATTGGGAACTTCATATTTTTAGTTATCATGTTAAATTTATAATACAAAGTAAATTACAAAAAATACAGTTTAGCATTTTGACCTTTAGAATAGATTTGTTGTTATGGTAAAATGCTTTTTTCTGTTAGTGGTAAGCTCCATAGATACATAAAATCTAAAAATCCTGACCCTTGTTT